GAGCAACATGTTGAAATGGTAGTATTTTTTTATATATTGGGCTAAATATTTTTTAATATGACTACCCAAAATTTTTAATTCTTTTATATATATATATATTTGGCTTATATTATAGCTCTGTTGGACAGCATTACTGTAAGACAATGTAGCTATGGAAGACAGAATACCTATCAGACTCAACATCTTTTCCAAGCTGCAAATTAAATCCTTTGCCCAATTATCAATGTCTCTCCATTTAAATCTGCTGTTTCCTGACTTCTTTCTGTCAGTGTTGCTATCATTATTCTTTTATATAAGTAATAAGGATCAGAACCTTTAACTCTTCCTACAAAGTAACCGATTACAACCCACTTATCTTATGATGCTACCATCATATTCACTTTCCTTACTTCATAGTTGTTCTTCCATTTTCTCACCAGATTAACAAAATCTCTTGAAAGGATTTTCTTCTAGCCTCTCTCCATGACCCTGATTCATGAGTCTATACAATTTTAGACTATAATTCCGAAGCATAAAAATTCAGTGACTCCTATTATATACTATATACTATTATATGTATAAAATTCAAACTACTTGAGTCTCAATTTTTACTTCTAGTTTGAACCATATCTCCTCTTTGCATTCGGGTCAGATGTAAGGTTTTAGATAAAATATAAGATGCCCAATTAAATTTTAATTTCTTTTTTTTTTGTTTTTTTTTTCCTTTTCTACTTTCTTTCCTTCTAAATTTTAATTTCAAGTGAACAATATGTTTAGTAAAGTATATGTCAGATCTTGTCACATATCTATACAAAATTATTGTTCACAATTCAACTTGTAAGCAGTCACTCAGTATTTTTGCTAACCCTGGTAACCCTCGTAAGACTAGTCTATCTAGTCTCTGTCACGCAGACTGTGGACATATTATATACCTAGGCATCTTTGCTCACACATTTCAGATGTAACACCTGAAACAAACTCAGAACAATGATGAGCTCACAATTAAGTATGCAATAGAGGGTAACATTATGCTTCTGACATTGTAGGTGCGGCTCAGTTTCCACTGGCCTCCATTAGATCACTTGAGCCCCCAATATAATCTGTCTTCCCTCTCTTTTAATACAGCACTAATTACCTTTTTCACATCTTATCTAACCTTACATTTCTACCTCAAATTATTGACGAAGTCAAATTTTATAATAAAGCTTTGGGGATTTTACCAAAATTATTGATTTTTATCCTAAATCCTAGCTTAAATATCAAAGTACATGTAGCTGAGTCATATACACACAGGGATATAAAATGTGCTAAGTGAGTCTCACAAAATGAATTGTGAAGATACCCAAAAAGAGATTCTTATGCTCAACAATACCCGATGTACTTACCAATATATCAGCTCTTTAAACCGTTATCTTGCAATTGACCTGCTGCTTTATACTTGACTAAATCCAATGTGCGTATATACACATGTATGCATATTGAAAGTTCCCCACTGTTATAGCACATTGTTGTGTAAACATTCCTTTAAAACTTACTGTCATCGTCTGGTAGGTTCATGATCTTTGCAATATAGAAATAATTAAATCTTTGGGTTAGATTCCACTTTTATCCTTCCATCAATCAGTGCAACAAAGAGCTGCTAATAAAAACTGCACCCTTATTTTGTAATTGAGATTGGATACACATAAAATGTCCTAATATCTGAATTTTCTAAAATGTTTCTCAAAACAAAAATGTACATAAAATTACACATGCAAATAATCAGCTCAGTAAAAACTAGCTTTTCCTGTTTTTCACAATGATCTGTAGATTTCACCATTTTACCAAGTAGTCACAATTCATTTACAGGAAAAAAAAAATATCAGAACCTGATACTATGTTTCCTGTCATACACAGGGCACTTCAATTAAATAGGAACTCAAATTATAGATGATAATGTTCCTGATAAATTAAAGAAATCATGAACTATTCCTCAAGACAAGCTACTTGTAAGAAAACACATTTAACTATTATTAACCCTAACTTTGCTCACACTCAATCTGGCACGGAGTGAGTCCAAATCCTGGCTGTGCTAATAGCATGTACCTCTCTGGTCTGATTCCCCATCCATAGAGTGAGAGCACTGTCTCCAAAGGTGGTTGTGGAAATTATGAAAAGACACACGGAATATGCAGAATACGGTCAATATTCAGCAAATGCTAACTCTTATTCTTAAAATGTGTCCTAGTTAAATATCTTCAGGTTTAATTCTAACCTAAGATTCATTCACAAGACTTTTAGAAATAAAAGGCTAATCCAAAGAAAACACTGATTTGCCATGCTTGAATAAACAGTAAAGATCCAAATCCTTGCTTCTCTAACACCCTTTTTTTCTCTTCTATCTGCTATGACCTGAGATCAGGGTACTCAGCTTTCATGGAAATCAGTCATGAACAACCAGTTTCAGGTATATATTTATCTTTGTCAAAAAGCAAGGTTGGTTTCATAGGCTTGTAAAGATCCTCCATAAAACTTATTTCCAGTGTTTGCTTCGGCAACACATGCTAAAATTGGAACGATACAGAGATTAGCATGGCCCCTGCGCAAGGATGACACACACAAAAAACTTACTTCCAGAATTCCTATTGTTCAGTTTCTTTAAAATAGTTTTAGATTCCCACATTAGGTATGATAGCATAACTAGTCAAGAAATGCATCATGTGTGAAGTAAAATTTTACTTTTCTATTGATTAAAGGAATAATGCTAATTATCAGGTAACTTTAGTTTCTGAGTTAATAAAACAATTCCTTTCTAAGTTTCAAAATATAAAATATTGGATTCAGGACTTGATTAGTTAATATCAAATGAACAAAAACTCTAGTTGTGAGATGTTATATGAACCTATTTAAGGCTAATTCTAACTTATCTGGAGGAAAGGTCACCTTTACCTGAACATAAGCATTTTCCTTAAATCTCAAAAACTAGTAAAAACTACCATTAAAATGAGGCAAACACTTAAAATGAAATTACTTACAGGTGTAAAGACCAATAAAGTTGATACTAGCACTGAGAAACCTAATTTCAAGCACCTAAAATATTTTCAAGGGTGGGGGTTGGGAGTTATCCATGCTAGGCTGTTCTACACATTACAAGATTTTTGACTCACTCAACGTGCAAATCTGCTCAGTTATAGGTGTATATATACCACTGTATTTATGTGGTCCTTTGCTTTAAACTTTTGGAGTTCCTACATTTTTGGTAATGTTTCAAAAGCTGGTCTTTAGATTGAAGGTCAATATTTTCTAGAAAATGAGCTATTAGTTTAGGTCACATCTCTGGCTTAAACGATACATATTTTTTTGTTGCACCGATTGTTTGCTTCCTTCAAATATTTGCTCAAATATCACCTCAATGAGGCCTTCTATAAACATGTTCCTACCTAGACTCCTATACACACAACTTACTATATAGCATATAGTGTTAGTGCTTATCATTCTACATATTTACTTACTCTGGCCATCCTCATTACACAATCCCCCATAAATTCCATGGAAGGTGATATTTTATGTATTCTTTTACTGATCTCCCTCTTACACCTAGAGCAGGAACAGGTTTATACTTAGGTTTTCAATAAATGTTCAATAGATCTACCCATCACACTTACAACAGAAGCACTATGGCAGAAATATATGAAGATACCCTGTGAGGTAAATTAACAAGTAGAAAAAAGTTGAAGGATTAAGATTGACAAAAGGAACACTTCTCATTTTTAAAGTACTTCATTTGGTCATATTTTAAAGGTAAAAACATAAAAATTTTAAGCATTTTTAATTACACCACAAAGGTTAGTTTTGATAGTATTAATTTCCTTTGAAAAGCATGTTTGCCATTATTTGAGCTTAATAACACATTTCAGTTTCTCTAACCCTCTCTGCAAGCCTGTTCTATTTTCTTTGATCTCATCTGTATGTTATGTTCCCTGCCCATTCAACTCACACATCTAGTCTGGCAACCTTGCTTTCAAGTTTGGCAAAGAAGTTATTTTACCTCTTAGATGCTCCATCTTCCAACATTTCATTTTTATAAATTTCTTAATACTATAGTCTTTACTATTTTGTCTTTTATGAGTCACTAGAAAAAAAGTAAAAATTCTATTGAAAATTAAATTTATCCTTGATGTTATGCTGCAAATACATTGTTCAGTAAGTAGTTAGGCTTGAGTTACTCGAAACTGCTATGTGGTTTTACAAATATAATTTTTACCTCATAAGATGACTTAATGTAACCCTGATGTATATTTGGTTATGTATTGAAGAAATAATTTGGGGAATTTGTAAGCAACTATATTCCTCAATCTACACTAACGCATAAAAACACATTAAAGGCGGATATGTTTTCTACAGCTAATACTGATAATTAAGTACTAAATATATTCAATAAATATTAATGTGAGACAAAAACTACTGTAGGAAGGAACTTACCAGAAAAGAAATAGACTTTTTAAAAAAACCTTGTATCCAACAAGTTATTTTTTATTTGCTATTTTATTTTCTTAATGGAAACAATTCTGCCAAATGTTTACGATAAGCAACTTGGACTTCTAAAAGACAAACTTTAAAATCCAGCAGTCTATTGCCAAAGATTAAGACTCCTTAGCCCACTTCTTTGGATATATTTCTGTCCTCCTAAAAAACGAAGATGGTAATTTTGGGAAGGAAAAAGAGTAACAGAAGATTTGCGACAGAACTTTAATTTTTTTTGTTTTGTTTTAGAACTTTAATTTTTAAATTGCCTTTTCAACTATTTTGGTTTACCAGAATTATCAGGAAACTCAGATTAAACTTGATTAACTAAAAGAAGACAAAACTCCTCATACAGCCAGCATTTAGAAGAACTTGGTCCTCCTTTTTGTTCTTATAAAAGCCAAGTGACTCTCGAATTAAGCCATTTATACCGCATTTCCAAGGAAAACAGCAAATCAGTAATAACCCAATGTACCACATATCCCATATCTAGGTCAAACGAGTAATATAACGTGAGATACTGCACTGTGTAATTCCTTTATTTTCTGCATATTAGTGCTTTACCAACACTACAACCATAAAGAACACAATTCCAAGTACTGTACTTTTAGTTTGGGAGATCATAGTCTACAGACTCTCATTAGACAAGATTAACCTCATTCAAAACTTAGCAAGTTTATAAATTCACATAAATACAGAAGTTGATGCAATTAAACAAAAACTTCATCTTTTTTTAAGTTCTTAGATTATAACTTTTTCTGCAGGCTATAATCACTTGCCCCATGATCAGCAATAGTTATGGTTCGATTTAACTACATCAATTATAAACCTTTTTATAGCCTTAAAATATGAGAATTACAATTTCTTACCAAAGGACTTGGGTTTTCCAATGTTCAAGTATTTGCTTCCCCCTCCCCCCTTTTCAGACATTTCAAATAAACTAACATCTCACCTGCAACATTCAAAATCAATCACTTGATGTATAAAATTTTAACTAAGCCCCCACTTATTTTAAGACACACACAAAAAATGGCTGTCTACTAATCTGTCACAAGTTAGAAATACTACATTTAAAAATTAACATGAGGGTTTCAAGTTTCCTCCAGTTTAGGCATTTAAACCTTTGTGCTTGTCTCATTTCAGGATGTTCTTACAGCATTTATATTTATATAACCCATGTTTGTGTACCTTAAAACATAATCACTTAAAATAATTGAATTTATGGTGGAGCTTGGGAATTTTAAAAGCAACCAAAATGTTCTTAAATGCCTCATTTCTAAATACTTCCACTAAAGTGAAATTAAGAACTTTATACTTTAATTGCCTCTTGAACTCAAAAATCCTGTTGCACCTTTAGGAGCCTACAACTTGACACCTCTTCTCATCTGTCCTAAAGAAAATGTCAAGAGTTTTACTTTCAATCATGTTTTATACCCTTGTTTTTCATGTATCTTTGGTAAAAGCTCCATTACACAATATGGCCAAAGCATGAAGGACTAATACTGTCCAACTATACCATGATAACCTGCTCAATTCTAGTTTTCAAATACCCTCATAAACAAAACATTTTCCTGTATACTGCCTTTTCAGTCATTTCTGAAATTCCCTAAAATCAATTCCTTGAGGATCTCTAAAATTAATCCTTAAGGCTATACAAGAACCAGATGCTGCTTCACAATTCTACACTAAGCAGTAACATTTGGTTCAAAGTATTATACTGGTCTCAACAATCTGGTTACTGGTCCTAACCAGTTAGGCAAGTAATCGTTAGAATCTGGATACCACCAGTGAGAACACTGTTTACCCTTCAAAAAAAGTTTACATTCATTGTCATCTGTAGGTTCTTTCTCTTCACCCTACTTCCCCTTTGTAATTAAGTCTACATATCATTCACTCATCACATTTCCTTCCTTAAAGGAGACGGTGTCTTATTGAACCAACAGGCTATCTGACTTACCACTTGCATGAGTTAATCTTACAATTTAACAAAATTAAATATCTTTTTTATAAAACATCTTTTCCAGTGTTCTAATCAATGAAGATGTGGATCACGCTGATAAAAAAATTATTTGTATGTTCCTATTAATCAGTTGCTGTCATGTGAAAAACAGGAATGTGTATTTTTTTTAAACTATGTAAAATGTGCATAAATATTTTGGATTGTTGAATGCTTTGGTAGCAAGCAAAGTAAATGTTTTTCATAATTTTAAACCTACAGCCTCATGTTCAAAACAGAAAAAGGTCCAGATTTGCCAAAAAATATTTACACATTTCATCTGTGTATGGCAAACATCATTATTGCTCCATTTTTCTGGAAAGTCTTATTTTTTTTTAAGTTAAAAAGAGAGAAAACCCCCACAAAGTTGCTAACTGCAGTGAGAAGTCATGTGTCCTTGAAGGGTTGCTTTCAGATTGGTATATGGTGTAGTTAGCTGTGTTATGGGGAACTTGGGCTTTCGAGCCCTACTCATGCATGTGTATTTCAGAACTTAAAAGCTGACATTTCCAAGAACTTCTTACATACCTGTTTAACATATTGATGTGCAACTGGAACATATTACAGTGGTATTACTTACTACCTACCACTGTAAGCTAGGCTTACTAGACTGGTCTCAGTTATAAAATGTCACATTTGAAATTACTAAATTGAAATTAAAATCTGACAAGGAGCGGTAAAGGCCTTAAATATAAAAGACAAACGGCAGTTTGATTAAGCAATAATTTTCAGTTTACTAGATGAAACAGACTTGCAACATAGTCTGCATGAATGCAAAGTAAGCCATCTACAGCAAGTGATAAGGAAACTGGGCAAAAAAAAGGAAAAAAGCATACATTGGGGGGGAAATACTCTCGAAATTAAAAAAAAAAAATCAAACCATTATTATAAAGGACTTTACCAAGAATTGCTATTATTTCCCCCTTCCCGTTTACTGGAAGTCAACAAGAGCATCTAGCACTTTGTGTTCATTTGTCAAATGTCAGATCAGAGCATCCTAACGCAAAGCAAAAAACAAAACAAAAAACAAACAACAGAAAACCCCAACCACCCTAAATCCTAGAACAGCAACTTCAAGAGTTCAAATTCAAAAGGGGAGAACGTGGCAATTGAAAGAGGTGATGGTGGTGATAATCCTATGAATGGGCTTTTGATTTCTCTCCTGGGGGATGGGGACCGGGAGGGGGTGGGCGGAGAATGCTCATTAGGATTTGTAGTTAGAGGTTAACCATGTGAGCCCCTCATAGAGTCCGTCCCCTGAGGTGGCGCAGGAGGGCTGCACATACCAGTTCCTGTCCCGAATCCGGGTCAGGCCCAGTTTCTCCTGGATCTCATGGGGTTTCATGGCATCGGGCAGGTCCTGCTTGTTGGCGAAGATGAGGATTATGGCGTCCCTCATTTCCCGGTCATTGATAATGCGGTGCAGCTCCTGGCGGGCCTCGTCGATGCGGTCGCGGTCGGCGCAGTCCACCACGAAGATCAGACCTTGGGTCCCGGTGTAGTAATGCCGCCAGAGCGGCCGGATCTTGTCCTGGCCGCCCACATCCCAAACGTTGAACTTGACGTTTTTGTAAGTCACCGTCTCCACGTTGAAGCCCACGGTGGGGATGGTGGTCACCGACTGGCCCAGCTTCAACTTGTAAAGGATTGTGGTCTTGCCGGCCGCGTCCAGCCCCAGCATGAGGATCCGCATTTCCTTGTTCCCGAAGATTTTGGATAGCACCTTCCCCATCGCGTCGGAGG